AGATACTGAAAATTAGGTATAAATATGTACACTTAACTTGTCGAGTTGCTTAACACCAATCTGGGTCCCTTCAGCCAAATTTTAGAAGCTGAAAACAGGAAAAAGAGCTGTCAATAGTCATAAAGGAAGACAAAAGGCAACAGAAATTCAAAAAGAATAAAGCCACTGAAATACGACCAATAGAACTGTCACAGTACCCACTATATATTTACATATACATATTTTTTCATTTATAAACAATAGTCACAAGTGAAGGCAATAGAAACCGCCAGGTGCCTGCTCAAATTATTATACATTTGTCGGCCGTTGCTATAGCTCTCGAATCTGTCCTAAAGCGATGGAGGACCACCTACCAGTCTACCCCTCAGCGCTACGTCTGAGGTACTAATGCATTACATATAATAAATTTGCTCCACGATATTCTTGTTACAAAATTATAAAACAGAAGGAGAAGGATAGGCTTCAATGCATAAAGTCTCTCTCTTCAAAAAGTGTGCTATAGGAAGAAAGATTAATACCACCTCCTTAATTTGATCATAAATACTAAACTCTAATCCATTATGATTCTCATCATTTTTTCAAAATATATTTAAAAGGTTTCTTGCCTTCAATGCACATGATTAAAGAGAATGACTTAAAAAGACTAACACATATTTGTAACAAATAACCAATTTAACTAATTTTCTTAATATTTCTAAATAAGTTATCGATCACCTATATTAAGGACTAGAGGTTGTATAGTTTTAAACCTGTACGTTTACAGATTAACAAACACGTTGGTTTTAGCAATATGTCTATTTAAATTTATCAAACATGTTTGCTTCAAATTTTAACAAGCATATCTAATTAAGTTCAGATAACCAATGTAGCCAACACAGTAATTGTAATTTTGTTTTTAGAGCCCAAAGCTGAAGCACAGATCAAATTTCCATGCACTATCTCCAGTCCTAATTATAAACCAGTTAACTATTTGGGAGAGATTAAGAAACTTATTTAAGCTAGTTATTTGTAATGAATAGGTGTTGTTTTTTCTAAAATATCCTTATTAATCAAGTTTGTTATCTAGAACTACCATTATTAAAGGACTATATTAGAAAAAAAAGGATAAATATAAAAAACAAAGTAGATTCGGATCTTATATTTAGAACCAAATATAAGTCAAACAAAATCTTATATTAAGGACCAGATGTACTATATTTTATTTGGGCGCATAACAATAATAAATCCGTTCTCCATCCAACAAAGACTTCAAGCCTTGTGTTATATTACAAATTATACAGATATACATTCTCTACTATTATTTAATAAATCATGTGCATGTACAGAAGGTAATATCTTGGTACCATTTGTGCTTATATTAATATATACATCTACCCTACATCTGATTAGAAAGAAGTGCGGGGAAGAGAAAATTAGATGAGGAAATAAGAAAGAAGATAATTTTTCTCCTATTTGAGCAGCATGAAAAGATAAAAGGAGGAGAAAAGGACAGGAGTAAAACATGCATGGGTTCACGTATTTTCTTAAAGTTTCTAGAGTTGAGAGATTCCAAAGATAGAATACGTGTTCTGAAATTGCTATGATGGGTCCACATCTTCTCTATACTTTTTTATTTTCACTATAAAATTAATGACTTTTTTTCCCCCTCATGTTTTTTACACTTTTCACCTATTCATCTAAACATTTAGGAGCAGATGCATTTTCTCTCCACTTGTGTTTTCCCTCCATTTTCCCAACCCCCTATCCTCCAATATGTTTTTTTCTCTCATTTATTGTTCTCCCCTCTAAACTGTTTATTTTCATCAATGTATGTATTTATGTGCATGCTTATAGAGAGAGCTTGTTTATTTGTTATTATGTCTTTGTTACTTGAAACTCACGTCTCTATCAAAGACCTTGTCAGCCTCCTTCCCTAGGAGGGGACACACCAAGTTAATTGGATGCATATCCCCATTACCACAAAGGCACCTTGTGAACTTCATAGGTTCATCATGTACCAATTTACATTACCATAAACTGAAATTTTAAACATATACTAAAAGTTAGTTTAAAATTTAATTTGGTCATAAATATAAAATTCCAATCCATTTCGTTTCTCATATTTATTTATTTTTTTCTTAAATAGTCTTTGCAGCAGTTACATATATTAAAAGTTTTATCAAATAATAATTCTAGTTAATACACATGGTTAGCAAATGTATTTTTTTAAAAAAACACATATACTGAAAGTGGTATTTTAGTGAACAGTCAACTTATGCTAACTTCTCGTCATCCACTAGGCTCAAAATTGGATTCTAACCTAGTATTTTGTTTTAAGGATTTAAGCAACGCTTCTTCAAAAATATGTTATACCGTATATATACTTTAACAAACAGATTTAAGTCCGCATCTTTCATTTCACATAGAATTGATTAAGTAGGTGTGAATTTTACACATTGTAAAAATTTGAAGCAAGCAATGCTATTTATGACTTATAAATAATAATACGTCTTTATATAAGTTGCATATGTTAATATTTAATAACAAGAATATATCAACTTCATATATTTTTCATCTGAGCATAATTAAAGTCATCTCACTTTGCCTCTTAAAGAAGTCCATTATTTGTCCAATACGATGCATCAAAGTTTCACCTTATAATTAAATTAAAATAAACTATACAAGAATTATATGTATAGTTTGCATGGTCCCCATCTCATGTTTTTTTTTTTTATAATTTAACAGCGTTAATTAATATTTATTACATCCACAAGAGATCCTGCAGGAGAAAAAAAATACCTTAATGAAGCTAGCTCCATACGCTATATAGCAATCAGCTAAAAAAGAGAAAGGGTAAGTAATCAGCGAATCACCAAGTAGCAGCTAATGGGCAGTGGAGCAAAAGACTGGTTGCCGTTAACAGAAAACACGTCATGAGGATGAATACAAAGTGTCTACCCCACTCTAAAATGCTCACTCACAATTTCACATCATGCCATCCTGTGTCTCTCTCTCAGATTTGTAAGGATATAATTTGTCCACAGCATTATTATTTCATGTATAGGCTGACAGCGACTAGGACATTTATTGTTGGCTAAAGATAGATCTAACAAGTAATAATACAAATAAAGATGTACGTGTAACATAACATGATAGGTGAGTTATGATAGTTTTTCAAATTTTAGAATATAGATGAGTATATAATACAAAAATCAACATATATATATATAAGATAACATATATATTAACTCAATTATCAATAGAAGTTCACGACAAACTAAAACTATATTTACTAATTAGATTATAGAGAGAGAGTGCGCACTCATAAACAAATTCACATGAAAATAGCAACATAGAAAATTAAGTTAGAAATTAAATTCCAAATGCAAGAATAATGTTCACAACAAGCTATGATTAAATTGAGTAAATGAGCTATATGATACATTATATAACTATTGGAACCGGATTCATCATAATAGATTTACCCATATTTTCTTTTAATATATCAAAATTTGTTGAGGCTCAGGAGATAAATTCCAACTTAATTGATGCTTATTTATGATCATGTATATTTCAACTCAAAGGATATTCCCCACCCAAGCTTCCAGTCCCCAAGGCCAAGTTAGTTAAGCAATATTGTTTATCCAACATGTTGCTTTTTCGGATCATCATGCACCATTCATTAACACCTATTTCAAGATCTCATAATCAATGGTTAGATACCAAACTTCGGATATATCTTCTAAATCTTTGTTTCTTCACCACTCCGTACACTTACTAATGTAATCTTTAAAGTATTCATTTTCAATTGCATCATGCATCCGACATAATAATATTTTGAAGCCACGGATCGTCAGTGCTTGTCAAGTAATGTCCCCCTGTCCAATTAAAGCAATAAGTGGATCCCTTACGTAAGTTTCTGTCTTATAGATTTTAGGACATCTGGTCGTTAATGTCAAAAACTAGATAACTATTTAAAAAAATTTAAAAAATTAATTAAGTCAGCTAAATAAAACAAATGTATGTTAATTTTTCTAAATTACACTATTTAATTATGTGCGTTAGAACCATCCCTTAATAAGAACCTGTTCCAATCTGTAGGATATTTTAGAAAAAACATTACAAACTTTAGAGACAAGATGGATTATAGTATTGAGTAAAAAAAAAAAAATCATAGTATTATATTTAGAACCAAATTCAATGTTTAATTAGCTCTTATATTAAGGATTTAGGATTTGTAGTAGTATTATTATATGTTATTGACAGTGCCAAGTGATTGTGCACGTCTATGAGTGCATGTATCCTGTTATTTCCTAACAAATAATGAACCACAGCAAATTTTCAAATTAAGACTAGACACCATGCTCCAGTCTTGATCACTTGGGACTGTTTCTGTGTTGCGGCAAAGCAACTATATAAATGGAGTGATAAACTTCCCCGGAGAAAATTTTCAAGTTGAATGTTGGAGGTCTAACTAGAGAGATACTCTGATAGTGGATTATTTACGAAACCTATATAACTAAATAAAAGACAAAAAGACACAAGTGATATATCAGAAACACCTGCATAAATTGAGAAGCAAATACCAAGCCTTAGTATTGACCAAAGTATTACTTCCGGTCCTAATTATAAGAGCTAGCTGACTAATTTAAGGAGATTAAAAAATAAGGTAAATTAGTTATATATGATAAATAAGTATTGTTTTTTCCTAAAATATCCTTACTAATTAAGTATATTGACTAAAACTACTATTATTAAAATGATTACTTTGAAAAAAAAATACAAATATGAGAAATAAAATAGATTGATATCTTATATTTAAGACCAAGATAAAGTCAAACTAGGACTTATAGGGACCAAAGTAGCATATGATAAGCTAACTATATATATATAGGATATATGAATCTTGTTTGAGTGCATTCCTAATTAATTTATTTTATTATGCAACCTGCATTTTTTTTTAATAGGATTGATCGTACCAGACAGACATGCATACGTGCATGCATCCTCTAAGAAAAGGGAAACCCTAGCTAATAAGGCCTCAAGCAAGGGATGAGGAATGGGGCTCAGCTGAAGAAAATACGTGAGGGCTACACGCATACACTGTAAAAGAAGAGAACCTTGATAGGTTGACATAACTATAACCCTAAGTCCATCTCAGGCTCTCCCCAATTGACCCCATAATCTGTCCCGCAACAGTTTGTAATAATTCTCTATAACAAGCTAACATTGATATTGGTTCACCCAAAAGCTATATAACAATGTATTTGACATGTGTCAGTGTGCGTAGGGTCAATGTGAATGTTTGGTGAGTGCACGTCATCGTTATCCAAAATGCCCTGTTTCTTTTGCCAACCATTGGTTAGTTTTTGGTACCGATGCTAAGGAAGGAAAAGCAAGTTAGCAGATTTCGTGATAGAGACTGTTTTCTAATCTGTCCCCACTTCAACCCTGCCTTCCTCCTATATCATACACACATACATATAATCGACTAGCATTCTACTTTTTATAAGATTATTCATATTCAGCTGGCTCGATGACTTTTGGCTATACCTGTATGATTCATCTTCGAAAGCAACAATGATCTGGTTTAATATATTTAGCGACCCAAACTGAGGGCAGCTTTTACGTCCAGCCTCCATGCAAATCCTCCACCGTCCATTCTCCAAGCATCACAAGGAACCATCTGCGAGAATTTCTCCTTCCACCACGTGTACTGCACTTTCAACTGGCATGTGAAAGCACTGTACGCCAGTCGTTCTCTCATCACTAACCTCACCTCCATCTCCGGCGGCTCTTCCTTGTCCTGATGATCCAGGCTCATGAACATCTTCCCTAAACGCCCTATTCACCCACACAACCCCTTTTAAGCCGTCTGATACGAACCCTGGACACGAATCCCCACCCAGATTGGTTAACTTCTCCATGTCTGTATACCCTAACCCTAGCGCATCCATGCACGTCTCACTCACGCACTCCACCGTCACCAACGTTTCCACCGATTTCCTCACCGGTGGCATCACTGCCATCTGACCTAACGCTTGATTACGATCATTCATCAAGTTCAAGTTCAAGTTCAGCCGAATAAAAGGGTTAATAGCTTCCCGATCTTCCTTATCTGTCACAGTGACCGTATGACTATACACACTAGTACTAGCGCTACACCAAGCTCCACCTTTCGATGGGACCCGTTGGTCCGCACGATTCTTCTCTTCTAACAGCTGCAGCGTGGTGGCCGACTTGCTTTTTAGTTCTTCTTTTGCCACAGTACGCTCCCTGCCTTTATTAGCCTCTTTACAACTCCTCCGAACCCTAACGTACTTTCTCTTCGTTCTCCGTGCAGAAACGATGGTGTTATCATTGAACGCCGGCGATCGACCAAGTAGAGGCGCTCCCACAGCCGGCTTTGGAGCGATGGGTCGGAATCTTAGCATCAGGCTGTTGATCATCGCCTTATCCTGCAAGCAACCGGCGCATCTCGTGGAACGCCATGCCTCCCCACCATCCATATTTATCCCTACCCACCCAGCACTATTAAGACCAGCTCATGGTTGGATCCAGATTTATGTCTCTCTCTCTCTCTCGATCTGCGGGCGCGTGTGCAGGTTCTGAGGCAATATTCTCTTCGCTGAGGGCTGAGAGAGAGAAAACAGTTGGGGCCAGGTCGCTACCAAACTAGACAGAAGGGAGCGATGATAGGGGGAGCAAAAAGGCGAAGGCGAAAGGACACGTGTCCAGCGAAAAAGTCCAATACCATTGGGTGGATTGGGTTGAGACCGACAAAGAGATGGGCCCGGCACAATGGAGTACGCAGAGCCGGTCCCACATAAGGACCAATCAGAAACGAGAAGGTGTCCGGCACTGCCGAAAGCATGGTACACCGTGGGCTGTTTCCAGCATGAAAGCCGTACTGTGGAATGAGGTGGGAAGAGGGCCTTGGGGAGCTTCCAGAATAACACACGTAGTTGGGCTCTATTCGCGGCCCTCCTCCTGGAATCGGTGATGCCGCGTCTTTCTCCACTCGAGAGCAGGGTCGTGGACTTCACGGCCCACTCAGAGGGCTATGTTTTATGAGAATCGTCAGGCGTGGACACCACGCGCGTGAAGGCCAAAGAATAAGAATGTTTAGAGATATTACACCCCAAAATTAATGGATGTTTCATATGAGACACGTTGCAGTTTTGTAGATAAGCGGATCTCGGCTAAGATTTCGTATGTCACTGTCTCGCATTAGTTGTTACATCCCTGCCACGTACCCCCACCGCTCTCCCCCCACGTTATCAGTTTCTTCTTTCTGTCGCAAATCCTCCTTCATTTTATTACAAGTAATAATCCTAACTTAATCTCTCTTACGAGAAAATAGGAGATAACAAGGCCATCTTTTCCCAACCATATATATCTTACAGTGAACATCAAAAAGCCCCCTCGTAACAAAGCATTCGTAAATTCCATGCAAAAGCGTAGTTAGATTACATCTTTTCGTAGATAACCAAAAACTTCGGCGATTTATATCTCATCAACAAATAAATGACAATCAAATCATCTTCAATTTAATCTGCTTCATTAAAGGAGTTCGCTTCTTTCTTCTTCGTAAAAGCTTTCACAGCAGGGGATTCGTCCGTGTAATTGAATATGATGTACATGTACGGGCTTGATATATAACAGTGCAGAGCCTTTTTTTTGGTATTCTTGTCCAGTAAGGAAATTTTAAAGCCTATTTTGTTCGGCTTATTATTCTTATTTGTGCTTGATGTCATTAGGTACATGTGTGCGTGTATGCGTGTGTGCATATATATATATATATCCACACAGTACGTTTCCAGTGTGCTTTTGCATTTTTAGTGTTGATTATACCTATATTAAAATAAAATACATACTAATACATCTAACTAATGTAAGAAAAACTTAAATTAATTGTAGTACTCAAATGTCATGAATAATATGATTTATTTAGTCTATTTATTTAAAAACGACTTGCATATGAACGGATTCCATTAAGCACACCTAAAAGCATAAAATAATAGATATTAAAGGATTCCCCCCGGTTTTCCCAACGCCTTCCAAGTTTTCGCATTGGATGCTTAATTTATGATGGCTCAGTTACGTGTTGCTTTGAGACTCTTGCTTATTTTAAGAAAGTTTTTTTTTCTTTAATCTTACATATATTGAATATTTATCCAGAAACTTGCTCATTAAGCCTACTTGGCAATTTATCTAGCTTCATCTTCTATATGACAAATATGAAAAGACCCCACTTGATACTTTTCTCTGTGCTGCCTATCGAGTCCTTTCTCTCGTCCAAAATTGTGTCCCTCTTCTCATGTTTTCGACATCATTATTTTTCTATTACCCCTCCATTATCATTATTAAAACATGTACAACTTCCCTGCTGCTTCTATAGCTATTCGTAACAGCAAATATCGGGCCCCTACCCACCCAAATAAATAGCACTCGGAACTTGCTATCACAACAACCGCTCCCCTTTTCTGCCCCAACCCTCTCCTCTTGGCAGAAAACAGCCTCAGGCCAGCTAGTTCCTCTTCCCCTCCCTTTTTTTCCCCCCTCTCTCTATCCATCTATATCTATTCTATATATTATAATATATATACACACATTACAATAGAATAGGAATATGTCTGGGTATAGCAGAGCATACATTTTATTTAACATTATATTAGATTATTAGATTAATCACATAGGTCATCCCCCCAGTCTATTTTAGCCCCTATGGAGTGTCACGGCAATATATATTACATAGTTAAGCTAAGGGGAGATGTAACTATACACAGATAATAATCACCCTCAAGCCCGGGGAACGGTACAATACTTTATGGGTAAGATAATTGCCAGTATTGGTTGTTGTTCCTCCCGTTTACTAGCTCTTGTCCTCTCTTCAGTCCCAACCAGATAAGAGCCACGATCACTTCCCATCCCATCCCACCCCTAGCGCATAACCAGAGAGCTGCTAGCTAATAGCTATTACTTTTCATTTTCAACTTTCTTCAAACATAAATAATACCTGATACATAGGCTCCGGCACTCTAATTCATCTTCCTCTTTCCTTCTGGTTCTGGGTTTCTCAGAGACCCAAGCTCAGGGCAGCCTTGATGTCTAGCTCCTCCATGCAAGCCACCGCAGTCCACCATTTCCACACATCACACGGCACCATCTTCGTCCACTTCTCCTTCTGACACGTATACTGTAATCTCACCCCGCACGTAATGCCTCGTATGAATAGATCACGTTATCCTTCACTTCAACTTCACCACCACCTCCGGCGACGACCCTTCCTCGTCTTTACCACTCACCATCCTCTTGTACGCCTCGTTCACCCATCCAACCTTGCCCGTACCGTCTGATATGAACCCCGGACACGTGTCGCTCTCCAATTCTTCACCTTCTCAACATCCGTACTACCTAACCCTCCTACGTTCGTACACGTGTCCCCCACGCTCTCCACCGTCACCCACGACTCCACCACCCTCCGGCGCCGTTCAGGGAGCCCGTCGTTGCCCACAGCCTTGCCGGTTCAGGATTTCTCGGGATCTCAACTTTCTCCACTGTCACGTCCAGATCAACGTTCTTACACCATGAGGTCTCGGCGATCGAGCCTCCCGACAGTTCACTTTTCTCCGGCATCAACTGAAGAGTTACACCGCGTTCTCCGGACTCTCTCGCATCTCAGATCTCTCAAAAGATCTGTTATTATTATTATTATCCTTTCTCCACATCCAGTGTTCCTCCGAACCCTAACGTACTTTCGCTTCGCTCTCTTGCCCGAAAGCAACACCTTACTCGTGTTGTCCGGCACCGCAGCTCCGGAGGCAGAGCCTCCGGCGACCGGTTTCGGCGCGATCGGACGGAATCTGAGCATTATTCTGTTAACTACGGTTTTATCGCGAGAAGCCCCCGGGGGCACGCGCGGCTAGGTTGCTCCATACATCTCCACCGTCCATCAACCAACGGGAGTTCCTAATCTGAGGCGCGGATCTCTTGAGAGTGTGAGCCAAGGTCGCTTGTTTTCGCTCTGTTGCCGAGAGAAGGGATGGGGGAGCAGGGAGGAAACGATAATGATAACGGCAGCGCGGTGGCTGGGTGAATAAGCAACACGTGTCTAGGGCAACAGAAAACAGTAGGGTTGTGATTGGATGAATTTTAATTTACGTGGGCCCCGCTGGGAAAAAAAAAGTGGCGTATCTGGGAGGCGTAAATCGAGGCCTGTGATTGGTCCCACGGCGGAGCCAATAAGAGACGCGATAGTGTCCAGCACTCCTGGAAAGAGGAGGGGCACGTGGCATCCTCACAGCGAGCACCATATTCTCTATTGGGAATACGCTTTTCTCTACTCGAGGACCTCAGCACGTGCTTCCCTTTGATTGGCCAGTAACAACCTCGTTGCGCTCTCAAACAGTTGACTCTTCCTTATCTGTCACTCTCTCAATGGGCGCGTGCCGTAACGTCCCTTTCATAATATCTTTGTGGATGGTGCATTCTTATTGGTCTATCTATTTGGGCCCCAGCTACGAAGTGACCTGCCACAGTGCTTGGACCGCACTCGCTTGGGCCGCAGCGTTGAATGTGTAATTGCTGATAAGTGAGTGGGTATGCATCCGCACTAACTGAACGCTGCAAAATAACGAAAGCTCGTTGGTAATTTATTAGGAGGGAAATTATATTTTAACACCAAATAAGAAAGATCGCATTCAGTTCAAAATATAAATGTTGGGTAGTAACTGCAGAACTAAAGAATGGAGCTATTATTTATGGCATAAATTATGAATTTTGGAAACTATTTAATATCTTTTCAATATGACAATATGAATATCATCTTTTTTATTTAGTTAACATATATTTTTTATCTTTTAATTTATATAAAAGTTTTAATTTAGTTTTCTTAACTTCAAAAATATTTTTTAAAATTTTTAATTTTAAATTCTCAACAAAAAATGATAATATTAAAATTTTAATGTTTAATAAAATATTCTGCAAAGTTAATATATTGAGTTTAATTTTTAAAATAACCAATATAATCATTTCAAACCAAGACTAATAATTTCATGACTAAAATAATTTTTTAAGGTGAAAGAATCAGACTAGAGTTTTGTATAAAATTAAAAGGCTCAATGTATGTTTTAATTATGGGAAGTACTCCCACAGTTCCTAAATTTAAACTTCAAATAATAGAATTATGTTTAACAAACTAGTAGTTAAATAGTTTTAAAATAATTAATATACTAAAATGTATTTTTTATATATTTATCATTATTTATTAAGAGAGTAAATGAGAGAGACAACAAATAAAAAAATATGAAAGTAACATTATAACAAAAAATACTAAATACAGTCAACTAAAAATAAATTGAAAAATAATAAATATTTGAATAAATTTAAAAATAAAATTTATATTTTAAACGAGACTCCAAACTTATATATGGAATCTAAGGAAATATAATTTTATTATAAAGAAACAAAATAAATAGGAACGCTAATACTAACAAAGAGACACCGAACCAACGCAAGAACTCCGAACCAACAAAGCAAGACGGCGTCGAAATCAAAAGCAAAGACCAGACCAACATCCGAAGCTACTACCCTGCGAATTAGACAAGAGAAGACTAGAGTCCCCCCCATTTTGTTTGTAACGACTTTCAAAACGGCCGTGTTTAATATAAAATTTATTTATTTTTATTTTGATTCTAATTATAAAATTCTAATATATTTTATCTCTGATATTTATCAATTTTTTTTCAAAATAGTCCTTATAATAATGGTAGTTCTAGGCAATATACTTGAGTAACAAGAATATTTTAAGAAAGACGATACCTATTTATTACAAATACTCTTACTAATCATGCATATTAACAAGGATATTTTAATATGTATAACTACTATAGGAGTACCTTAAAAAAAAAATGAATTGGGATTTATTAGGATTAAATTAAAGTTAAACAAGTCCTTGTATTAAAAACTGAAAGTAATATAAAGTACTGTATACATATACGAGCACAGGAGGCACATGCACGTATCCTATCCAATTTAGACAGTCTTCATATTTGTGGAAACAACAGATGTGGATCCATTACCTGTCATACTTCACAGAGCATGAAGCCACTACCCAAATAAGTAAACAACCAACCAACTTATTTTATTTGGGTCAAAAAGTAAACAGCCAATTAGTTGCCGTGCCCCAGCCTGTGATGGGTTATTGGTCAAATTAACACAAACGGTGCACACCGAATAGCTTCTTCTGAGTTGGCCTCTGGTTACATCAGTCCAATTAATTAAACAGCCTCCTTTTTCATCTCATTCGTCTCTAACCTCAATAATTGTCTTCCCAGGTGATCATACATGGTTTTCGTGATTTTCCATGAAGAAAATCTGGCAAACTTTGACCAAATTGTCCAATCTCAATCTTCCTTCCTTGTGCCTATCCACTACTCCTAAGAATAATGATTTTTTTTTAACTGTTCGTCTTCTTTTTCTTTTTCCTAATAACCTTCACATTACCCATAAACATGGCTCATTATATATTCTACACGCGCGCGCACAAGCATGAGGTCCATATTCAATTTTTACAAATAAACACACTTGTGAACGCACATATGATCTTAGTGTGATTTAAACTGAAATTGCAATTGATGGATCTTTAATTGACGCAGAATTTTTTTTTTTGGTTAAGCACAAATATTCTTGCTCGAGACCCTTGATTCCATGCATTATGAAGAACTAAAAAGGTGTTAGAATAAGATTAAAACTATAGTTTTAAAATATTTTTACGGTATACAAAATAAATATATGGAGGAGTTTGTCTCGATTTACATAAAAGTACTTTTGAAAAGTGATTCTTGGGGTATCCAAACACCCCTTAATTCTTTTTCGTTAGACCAATCCCCATTTGTTCATACAGAACATTATAACAGTGCAAGATTGCCTTTGCCAACTTATGAGGGAGAGCTCAGGGCCAGAAATGGACAAATGCACGTAATTCATGTAAGTTATTCTGGCAGAAATTGATGAATGAAAAAAATAAAAATTAAAAGTGTCTCATCGACTTATTTTGTTTAATCCAAAATGAACGTCAACATTAGCCCCAAAAGCGATCCGCTTGCAAAAATCAAGTGAATGTAGTGACTCGGACGGTTTAAAAATCACGGGCCCGAGAAGGGATATCTTTTAGACGCAAATAATATCTCACATCATATGGGGGACATTATATTTCCTTTTATCAATTCAATCTTCCAAAAATTGAACAAGCTTCCAGCCGCTTCATGCGCCGGAGTTGAACATATTTCAGGCATCTTATATAGCCACCGGGGAATAAGTGAAAATGAAGGTTGAAGGCAGTTAGTTGACGACATCAACAACCAGCTTGCGAGACTTGAGAACAGACCATCTCAATCGACGGAAATAGGCAGCTTGAAGTAGTGCCAGGGATAGTACAAAAATCCATTTGAAACCCATCTGCATTTAGTAAGTTGGGTTAGAAAAATATGACATTATACATTGATCAGGTAGGGAAAAAATATAAGAAAAACAAGACCAGTTTTCTCTCTTCCATCTCAGGTTCAGCAGCCCAAGCCAAGAATGCCACGACGTCTTTTCCCATCTGCACATGGAAACAAATGAGCTTCCTACCACCCAGAGCCCATGGATATTGCATTTTGAGAAGATTTGCTAAAGCCACTCCTCAAGCCAACATATAGTTAAGAGGCAAATTAATATACCTGAGATTCTGTAGCAGGGGTGCCATCTTCATATTCAACAGCACCATCGTTCAGCATTTTAGGCATGGCGATTGCTCCACCAGGAAAATAAGGATTATAGTGCAATCCCTCTCTAATCTAAAAATTTAAAAAGAGAGATGATCATGATTAAGAGTTGAAGCCCCATATTGCAAGTTGGTGCAGAGAAAGACTTTCATGAACTTGTAAATTGTAATGATGATTGGATTTGAAGAAAACTAGATATTCGATTCAGCTTCCACGGTTTATGTCAATATATACAAAGGACTGATAACTGGACTAGCCAGGTTCAATGAATCAAATCATATAGAGATACATTTTCC